CCGAGGCCACAGGTCTCTATTACCAATGCTTATGTTGGTAGGTCAAAGGTCATCTTGAGTTACTTCATGAGGTCAATCACTGAGGTCACATAAGTCAACTTTCACTATCCATCACCACATTTACGGTTAGGGCTGACCACCAATTAAATATAGTTTTAAAATCCCTGAACCTAATAGCGATGAATTTCAATAGGATCTTCTGCAAGAATTAAAAAAAAAACGTAATTATATTCATAATCCTTCTTTTAATGCAAATATGGAGTTGTACTAAAAAATAAAGATTTTTGAAAAAAAATTAGGACAAGTTTCTTAAAATACATCACAAAAGAATGCCATTTCATGGTGGCATGGGACAACAGCTCCATGGCATTACACAATAAACCAATGAACATTGTCATGTAATTTATGACCAACTTTCCCAAAAGTTAAGACAATTATTATTTTCATATTTTTTTCTTGCGGGGTAAAGGCATCAGATAATACTAGTGTATCATTTCAACCCTGAAATTACCCATGACATGTCAGCAATGAAAAGCTGAATGACATTTGTGTTGATTTCGCACCAAAATGTTAGTACAAAGTTTTCAACTAATTGCATTGTTTTTCAAATGATGTCAAAATCATTATGAAATCCAAAGATTATTCATTAAGTTAATTGGACAATATTACTCAATCATTTGAAAGAAATTACATCATTGAACACCAGATGGCGCCATATGCCAATATGATTCATACATCCAACACTACTATCATGGCATTTTCACCGTACCTTTTTTATGTCGACACAACACACCCCTGAGCCCATCTCTACACCTGCAAACACCAGGGGCCACACACTTTTCACTATCCTTACATTTGGGATTGCATACAGCTGTGGATAAAAGAAATAAGCATGAGACTGTTTCACTGCACATTTCAAAGTGCTTAGTCGATGACAATCCTTGTTTATGGGGTATGTTTTATTGTTTGTGTATTCCAAACACATACATAATTTATCTGCATAATAAAATTAAATCATTGTTGTAACATTCATAGCCACTGCAAATAACAATATGGTCAGAGTTACATGAAAACAACAGTTCCATTTGCAAGGAACTGATCACTGTCTATTGTTAAGCCTCCCTTGTATATTCTACAAGGCCTTTAAACTTTTGTTAAATCATTTACTACTGTGTTTTACTTTTAAGCATGACAGTTTTACCATGCTTGACCACTTAAATGCTTAAATTGAAGGAAACGTTAGAGGTCATTGCTTTAATATTCATACAACCAATTGGTGCTATGCAGTATCATAACAGCAACACCAAAAATCAATTAGACCTGAACTTGGGAGCTATTTTATCCATTATTCAGGGGCCATTATAAACACTACACAGGCCTCTGAGGAAGAATGACCTTGTCAATGTCACAATAGACAACTTATGTTATCTTATGTTATATGATATTTTGCTTGGAATTAGATCTCTCATAGCCATTTTGTTTAATTGTGAAGGCAACTCTGTACACACAAAATACTAACTTAAGTACCAAATAGTGACCAGATAATTTTCAAGAAAAATTAAACTTCAACTTACCATTTTGGCAGGTAAGACCTTTATATTGAGGTGTACATTGACACCTATTGGATTCTGTGCAAGTACCACCATTTTGGCATACAGGATTACAGACTGGCTTAACTGGAATTAATAAAACACAAACAAACAAACAAACACAATTAAACAAAATATTTCATTTTGTTATCATTCAAAACACAGATAAATTTTGTGCTGTGGTTTGGAAAACTGGATTCTATTGTGTATACTTTGCATGACTAATTTGATGAAAAATAACAACAAAGCTCACCCTTTTTCCTCTTTGCTGGAAACATTTTACAACATAATACTCCAGTTGTCAAACCCGGATGATAGCGACAGTTGGGTTGACCGTTCTTTCTGTGTCCGTAGAATATATCTATTCTACCCTCTCCAAGACACGAGCCATGCTTTCGATGTCTCTGTGAACAGTTTCGTCCAATCCCACCCATTCTATCACCATCTACTGTTTCAGTACACCTACACAAGAAGTTATAAAGCAATCATTATGTGATGAACTTTTTTTGAAAGCATTAAGAGTCCAGAGTTTGCCATGACAAAAAAAGCCAATTGCCTGGCAAGACCAAGAAACATATATCATTGAAGCAATTGCTTCTATGCCCTCTGTGAATTTTGAGACCAGCAGTTCTAACAGTTAAATATCCATTATTATGAAATGCTGATAACATGTTATTGTGCAGCATGAACAATCATTATATTCACATTATCGTAGTATGTAACATCAATTTGCCGTAATAAGACAATTTGACTGATAACTGTACCACAAAATAAATTGTAGCAGTGCCATGGTTGCAGTGTGACACGAGAGACGATCATTTTTCAAAGAACATTGAATGTACCCATTGCGTTGTGATTTCACAGAATGTGCAGTACTGTTACCTAGTAACAATAAACATGCATTATCATCAAGACATACCTGGTACACTGTCCCATGTTGTTAGCGGCATTATATGCAAAGCAACCATCCACACTGACTGCGTCTTCCCACGTAACTGAGCTTAACAAATCAGTGTCTTGATCACTACAGACATGCCATCCTCTGGCACACAGTGTCTTACCACGCTGTACATGTCCGTGCCATCCACCCTCACACGCAGCCACATCGGGTATGTGACCCAATCCTTCCACCGACCCATCGTGGCACCCGCCAAGCATAGACTGCCAATCTACAATAGATACAAATATCATGGATATCAGATGTTGATGTACATCATTAAAAGCTTTTCAAGCAATTCAAAAACAAAGGATTAATGTACAATGGCCTTTGAGGGCGCACTGCATGTTCTTACCTGGGTATCTGACTGTCACATGTATTGTCTGCATATCATTACCAGCCACGTTTGTTGCAACACATTTGTATCTACCACTATCGGAAACATCAACTTTCAAAATTTCCAACATTCCTGTAAAAATAGAAAATATTTTACAATTATAAAGATTTACATATAAGTGATTTATCACATAGTGAAATGAAGAAACAATACTCAATGTGTACATACATTACCACTAGGTGGCGGCCTTTGATGAACACTGTAATTTGTATTGAGACTAGACAATAAAACTACTGTAAAAGGATTAACTATTCACTGGGTTTTAATTTTGCTTATTTCACTGACTGGAAAATGTGCTAAATTAAAACACAGTGAATATGTAAAATTTAGCATAGAACAAAACCATGAATTTAAAACCCACTATGCCTGAAATGGTAAATCAGCAAAATTTAAACCCAGTGAAAATTAGTCATTTTACAGTATATTTACTCTATCGCATAAATTTACATAAATGCCAGTGGTGCGTCTTGGTCAAAACAAGCAGCCTATCGGCTGAGATAGCTCCGCTGTTAGCAATGCACATTTCAATTAAAGAACTAAAGACATCATTAGAAAATGAACAATATGAATAGTATCAAAGCAATCGGACTTACAGTTTTTAACAAATAGTCGAAAATATCACTTTTTACCAAAAATTACAAAAATATTCACCAAAATAAATTAATTAGAGAATTGAAGATATCATCACAAAATGAACAAATCTGAGAGGTCCACATCTAGTACCTATATATGTAATATCAAAGCAATCGGACTTACAGTTTTCAACAAGAAGTCGAAAATATCACTTTTTACCAAAAATGACAAAAATATTCACCAAAATTAGAAAACTGAAGATATCATCACAAAATGAACAAATCTGAGAAAGGTCTACATGTAGTATCTATATATGTAATATCAAAGCAATTGAACTATTGGTTTTTAACAAGAAGTCGAAAATATCACTTTTTACCAAAAATTACAAAAATATTCACCAAAATTAGAGAATTGAAGATATCATCACAAATGAACAAATCTGAGAGGTCCACATGTAGTACCTATATATGTAATATCAAAGCAATCGGACTTACAGTTTTCAACAAGAAGTCGAAAATATCACTTTTTACCAAAAATGACAAAAATATTCACCAAAATTAGAAAATTGAAGATATCATCAAAATGAACAAATCTGAGAAAGGTCTACATGTAGTATCTATATATGTAATATCAAAGCAATTGAACTTTTGGTTTTTAACAAGAAGTCGAAAATATCACTTTTTACCAAAAATTACAAAAATATTCACCAAAATTAGAGAATTGAAGATATCATCACGAAATGAACAAATCTGAGAGAGGTCCACATGTAGTACCTATATATGTAGTATCAAAGCAATTGGACTTGCGGTTTTTAACAAGAAGTCGAAAATATCACTTTTTACAAAAAATGACAAAAATATTCACCAAAATTAGAGAATTAAAGATATCATTACAAAATGAACAAATCTGAGAGAGGTCCACATGTAGTAACTATATATGTAATATCAAAGCAATTGCACTTGCGGTTTTTAACAAGAAGTCGAAAAGATCACTTTTTACCAAAAATATTCACCAAAATTAGAGAATTGAAGATATCAAGATGAAATGAACAAACCTCAGAGAGGTCTACCCAAGGTACATATACACCAAGTATCAAAGCATTCAGGCTTGTAGTTTTCAAGAAGAAGTCGAAAAAGTAAAACATTGACACGGACGACGGACAATCACTCATATGATAAGCTCCGCTCGACAAAGTCGACAGCGGAGCTAAAAATTGTTTGTGTACTTACAGCAAGTTTTTTGACATCAAATGAGTGCAGAGTCGCAGAACAAACAACCAACTGAAATGAGATCATAAAACAGGCTGTCATATTAACTTGATAAGAAATTGTCTTCAAACCATGCAGGATGTACCTTCATACAGCATTTTGCATCAAGCGTCAGAAAAGGAAACTTGGAAGAGCTATGTGATGTTAACACACTTGAGGTTGTCAGTGTGCTAACAAATACTGTAACAATATCTTGCAATTCTACTTGCCTGTAATCTTTTTCCATCAGCAGTAATTTTGGGAATTTGCTCCCACAATCGATAAATCAGGTCAGTGTATCCTTGTGTTAGTAATCCATCCTGTAAATAAACAAATTAGTGTTCATATAAAGGCATATTTACAATAAATCAGGTCAGCTAAAAAGAAGGGTTCATATATTATGAAAGTCCAATTCACAACAATCATCTTTCTTACATCCAGGGATCACTCATATTTGTAATATATGGATAGTATGAGTAATAGTATGGAGAACATGTGTATTACTATTTAGAATGGGCTACTGACTGACTAACAAATAAATAAATAAATAAATAAACAAGTAAACATATACTCACAGCTTCATCAAGGATGAAAAAGCGAACCTGCAAGAAATATAAAGAAGTAAGCACATACTGTGAGACCAAACTAGAAACCATGTACACTATGTGTTGGTGAACAGAAATGGTCAGCAGACATGAACGAAAGTCCCAAACTTGTACATATGTAACATTCAAAAGCAGGTTTTGGATGCACAATCTATTAAGTTTTATATTTATCACACTTCACTATTAATGTCAGTGTATTTATTTACAGAGAACTGGGGTACCGACTTGGAACATCAATAAAAAAAATAGTAGAGATGAATCAGAATAAAGTGTACCTGTGAAAGAGATAACTTTCCTGTACTAATTAGATCTTCCAATCTACCAGGAGTACCCACTACAATATCAATCTATAAAATATTATGTAAATATCCTTATTATACATATAATAATAATTGTTTACATGGGTTATTGAACTTGATGACAACACAAACCAAATAATCTTAGAGCATACATGCCAAAGCATACAATGTATGTGGACATAAATTCTGGTGTGTTTTTTAATAATCCTATTATTCATGAAGAAAAGGTTCTTACTGACTGTTTTTTACTGACCTTTATTTGGTCTATGTTGGCTCATATAGTTTGGTTGTTATTGACTAGTGGTTAGTCAAACAATGGTATATTGACAGACTTACCCCTGATTCTAAGGCATATATTTGATCTTTTGCAGCTTGACCACCAATAACGAGAAGTTCCCTGAAATTCACATAATGATTAATTTTTCCAGTATATACTATACATTCAGATCATATTATATGCCAGAAATGATGCTTGTTATCATTTCCTTTGAAGTATAAAACATGATAATTTAGACAACAAAAGGCATAGGAACTTCAGGCGGTAAAGTATAGGTGGTACTGTATGGTAAAACAGAAAACAACAACTGATCATATAAATTAAAGTATATAATCATAACATACCGGACATTAGGTTCTTTTAAATACTTCTTGAAATTCTGTATTTGTGTCAAAGTCTATGAAGAAAGTGGGTAAAAGGATGTGATAGTGATAATGATGAGTTTCTGTCCATTTCACAAAATGAAGAGATAGTGTCAACGATGTTAGTTTATGGCATCAACAACTCGATATACAAATATTTCAAGTCAAACAGAGATGAGATAATTTAACGTACCTGTTCTGCTAACTCTCTTGAAGGCTGTGAATAAAATAAAGCCATGAATAAATACACTGTAATATTATAATAGTAATTCATATTGCCATATATCCACTCAACTACTTATAGGTTATTTTATGAAAAGCATACGGCCTTCAACACATGCTCAACAATCACCACTCTACTGGGTACCCATTTACCCCTGGATGGGGTCACACTGTCACCACCATCACACTGTCTATTACCATCAACCTACCTCAATTATAATAGCTTTAGGAGCATTCGGTTCTACTTTAGAGCTGGCAACCTGCTGATTTCCTAATGAGAGAGATTAAAAGCCAAGTTAGTAAATTCCTTTTTTTAAAACCATGGTCAAAATTAAGTTTACAAACTGAACAAAACTAGTTGTCTCTAATATAGTCAGGAATATCAAAATATCATGAAAACTATTAGTGCTTAAGTTTACTGAATGCAATTATCTTTTCTGGTCACCATTTTCCGATGATTCAATATGTGGACTGTATAGAATCACTGTGCACAAGTCATTGAACTTGAATTCATTGCTTATACCAATTTCATGGCACCTACCAATAACATTTGATGCAATAAGACAATCAGCTGGTGCTTCACTCAATCCTATGAATCCACCCTATAAAATACAATTTACATTGTAAAGATACACATACTAATGATAATCAATACAAACTATTAGGACATTCTCAGCAGCAAAAGATATTTCAAGCTATTACATTATTTTATGGCATTATGCCTGTCATTGTATTATGTTTACTCACCCCTGGAGGAAATTTGAATTTGGAGTCTCCAAAGTTGAACTTCATCTCCGCATTCTGAGAAATGATAAAATAAAGCCAACACACAGACAAGAATGAGGTATGTATACATTTTAAATGGATATGTGTCTTCAGTCACTGGGTGTATTCCCTGCACACAGTGTTTGGTACCACAGAGTCTATTTAGTCAGGGGTTAAGATGGAAGGGTTCAAGAGAAGTTGAGCTATATTATTTCAGCGGGGGCAGGGGTAATTTGACCCTCTTTCTCCCAAATACATCATGGTCTCATATTACAGAGCCAACAATATAGAAGATTTCAACATTTTAATAGTAGTGCTTCATGCATTTATGCTGTTTTTAATTTTTGGAAGAATTATTATGATAATAATAAAAATAATAATTAAAGTGTGAAAAAACAATTATAGGTTAAACTTGGGATCTAAACAAATTTATAGGAATGAAGATAATAAATATCTCGGATTTTAAAAGACACACAATGTACACAGTTATACTTACTTTGAGAACGACAGCAGCAAACAGACCTGTATTCTTGAAATGGCCAGGCACATCAAAAGCTGTACCCAAATCTTTACCTGTAAATGAAGATTCAACTATGAATGAACTCCAACACCGTGGGGCAATGAGTGAACTCCATCACAGTGGTACAATGAATGAACTCCATCACAGTGGTACAATGAATGAACTCCATCACATTGGGGCAATGAGTGAACTCCATCACAGTGGGGCAATGAGTGAACTCCATCACAGTGGGGCAATGAGTGAACTCCATCACAGTGGGGCAATGAGTAAACTTCATCACAGTGGGACAATGAATGAACTCCATCACAGTGGGGCAATGAGTAAACTCCATCACAGTGGTACAATGAATGAACTCCATCACAGTGGGACAATGAGTAAACTTCATCACAGTGGGACAATGAATAAACTCCATCACAGTGGGGCAATGAGTAAACTCCATCACAGTGGGGCAATGAGTAAACTCCATTCACAGTGGGGCAATGAGTGAACTCCATCACAGTGGGACAATGAATGAACTCCATCACAGTGGGGCAATGAGAGAACTCCATCACAGTGGGACAATGAATGAACTCCATCACAGTGGGGCAATGAATGAACTCCATCACAGTGGGGCAATGAGTGAACTCCATCACAGTGGTTGACAATGAGTGAACGCCATCACAGTGGGGCAATGAGTGAACGCCATCACAGTGGGGCAATGAATGAACTCCAACACAGTGGGGCAATGAGTGAACTCCAACACAGTGGGGCAATGAGTGAACTCCAACACAGTGGGGCAATGAGTGAACTCCAACACAGTAGGACAATGAGTGAACTCCATCACAGTAGGACAATGAGTGAACTCCAACACAGTGGGGCAATGAGTGAACTACAACACAGTGGGGCAATGAGTGAACTCCAACATAGTGGGGCAATGAGTGAACTCCAACATAGTGGGACAATGAGTGAACTCCATCACAGTGGGGCAATGAGTAAACTCCAACACAGTGGGGCAATGAGTAAACTACAACACAGTGGGACAATGAGTGAACTCCATCACAGTAGGACAATGAGTGAACTCCAACACAGTGGGACAATGAGTGAACTCCAACACAGTAGGACAATGAGTGAACTCCAACACAGTAGGACAATGAGTGAACTCCATCACCGTGGAGCAATGAGTGAACTCCATCACAGTGGAGCAATGAGTGAACTCCATCACAGTGGGACAATGAATGAACTCCATCACAGTGGGGCAATGAGTGAACTCCAACACAGTGGGGCAATGAGTGAACTCCAACACAGTGGGGAAATGAGTGAACTCCATCACAGTGGGGCAATGAGTGAACTCCATCACAGTGGGGCAATGAGTGAACTCCATCACAGTGGGGCAATGAGTGAACTCCATCACAGTGGGACAATGAATGAACTCCATCACAGTGGGGGCAATGAGTGAACTCCATCACAGTGGGACAATGAGTAAACTGCATCACAGTGGGACAATGAGTAAACTCCATCACAGTGGGACAGTGAATGAACTCCATTCACAGTAGGGCAATGAGTGAACTCCATCACAGTGGGGCAATGAGTGAACTCCATCACAGTGGGGCAATGAATGAACTCCATCACAGTGGGGCAATGAGTGAACTCCATCACAGTGGGACAACGAATGAACTCCATCACAGTGGTTGACAATGAGTGAACGCCATCACAGTGGTTGACAATGAGTGAACTCCATCAAAGTGGGGCAATGAATGAATTCCATCAAAGTGGGGCAATGAGTGAACTCCAACACAGTGGGGCAATGAGTGAACTCCAACACAGTAGGACAATGAGTGAACTCCATCACAGTAGGACAATGAGTGAACTCAAACACAGTGGGGCAATGAGTGAACTACAACACAGTGGGGCAATGAGTGAACTCCAACATAGTGGGGCAATGAGTGAACTCCATCACAGTGGGGCAATGAGGGAACTCCAACACAGTGGGGCAATGAGTAAACTCCAACACAGTGGGGCAATGAGTAAACTCCAACATAGTGGGACAATGAGTGAACTCCATCACAGTAGGACAATGAGTTAACTCCAACACAGTAGGACAATGAGTGAACTCCATCACCGTGGGGCAATGAGTGAACTCCATCACAGTGGGGCAATGAGTGAACTCCATCAGTGGGGCAATGAGTGAACTCCATCACAGTGGGACAATGAATAAACTCCATCACAGTGGGGCAATGAGTGAACTCCATCACAGTGGGACAATGAGTAAACTCCATCACAGTGGAACAGTGAATGAACTCCATTCACAGTGGGGCAATGAGTGAACTCCATTCACAGTGGGGCAATGAGTGAACTCCATCACAGTGGGGCAATGAGTGAACTCCATCACAGTGGGGCAATGAGTGAACTCCAACACAGTGGGGAATGAGTGAACTCCATCACAGTGGGGCAATGAGTGAAGTCCATCACCGTGGGGCAATGAGTGAACTCCATCACAGTGGGGCAATGAGTGAACTCCATCACAGTGGGGCAATGAGTGAACTCCATCACAGTGGGGCAATGAGTGA